GGCCCAGCCACTCTGCGGCATGTGGGATCCTCCTGGACCGGGGCACAAATCCGTGTCCCCTGCATCGGCAGGGGGGGGGGGGGTGGCCTGCACGCGGTAGGGGGCGGGCTGTGAGAGAGGGAGCTGCTTCCGGGAGAGCCGCCCCGCCCCCACGTGGGCCCTGGGAGACTAGAGCGCGCGGCAGCGCTGGCGGGAGTGGCGTCTCAGATTCCTTAGGGAGGCAGGTGAGTGGGGACTGGACTCGGGGAGATGGCGGACTTGGAGGCAGGGGCTGTGGCATCAAAGTCTTGTGTCCCCAGACCCAGACTCTACTATAATCCACAAGCGCTGGCGGTGCAGCCGGGGACGGAGTCACTCTGGGACTCCTATTTAGGCTCTTAGAGGTAGATTGTCCTGCTGCAGCGGGGTTGAGGTCTCTGCATGGCCGTTGCCCTTGGGGACCCGGGTCTGGGCTCCGAGTCTCCTGTCTGGGGTCCATTCCCTTGGAGACCGCTTGGGTAGTCTCCATCAGTGGAGAGCCCGAGGTGCCTCGCAGGATGGGGGAGGGAGGTGCAAACAATAACAGCCGCTCTGTGCTAGGATTGTACATAAATTACATGCATTGGCCCATTCAGTTTTACAACAGCCCATTGAGGTCTGTTCCAGTCCTTATTTACCAGATGAGGATTCTGAGGTCAGACAGCTGGAAGGTGACAGAATCGGGATTTGAACCCACATCTACAGACTCCAAAACCCACACCCGTAACCCTCATGCTGCCAACTGCAGCCAGGTCCAGAGTCACCGTTCTGCCTCTGTCCTCCCTCACCCCCTTCACCCAGAGCTCTCCAGGAGCCCAGCTCTGCTGATAAGCAGCTTTGAAATCTATACTTAAAGTATCAAGGGGTAATGGTGGACATTGAGGACTTCTCTGCTGGAGACCTGGATTCTGGCCCGAGACCTGCCACTGACCCCCCGCAGGATCTTGGACCAATGTCAGCCCAGTATCACCATCATTTCAGTAATATAGTCAGCAAGCTTTAAGGAACCTCTTCGTCGGTATGTTCTAGGAATTTGTGGAACTGGCTGATTCTCCTTTTAGCTCCAGAGGAGATTTGGGCTCTTCAAAGCCAAGTCAAGGCCTGGGTCTCCTTCTCTTTAATCCCTGTTCCTAGCACTGGGGCAGGCCCAGAGTAGATGTTCAGGAAATGCAGTTTGAATAAACAGGTAGCCAGTTGGCTCCTTTTCAGAACTGCCTGACAGCTGCTGTCCTGGGCCCTTCTGGGGGTTTGGATTTCTCAGCCCTGGCCACCTTCTACCTAGCTGGCCCTCCCCTGCAAGTGGCAGAGCCTGCCATCGCTGGCAGCAGCTCACAACCCTCTGTGCCAAGACCACAGCCTCTGGAATCCTCAATGGAGCACAACATGGGGGGATCCGGCCCTGCATCTCTTCTCAGCCCCTCCGGGAGGTAGTTCTCAGGGCCCAGCTTAGGTTACTCCCAAGTTGGAGAAGTTACCTTCTAAGGAAGGAGATACTTTCACAATCAATCTGAAATTTTACTTATCCCTCAGTGTTGCCATGAAGCCATCCATCCTTGATTCCCAGAGACACAGGTCCCTCCTATAGCACATAGTCCACCCCTCTACTGTAGCATCTGTATGGTGACTATTTCTCCTTCACCACATAAGCTGCTGGAAGGCAGGGACCCCACCTCAGATATCCTGGGAGACCCTGTGGCCCATCCAGGTTTGAGTGAAAGTTCTCCCTTCTGGGTGTGGTGCAGAGGACACAGCTGTGATCCACTCCAGGAGGTCTAGTCAGCCCACTTCTACTCCTAATGATAGTAAAAGTAGCTGCGTATTTACTGAGTGGCTGCTGTGCCAGGCATGTACCTCTTCACTATCTCTGATCTTCTCTGCAGCTTTGCAAGTTTGATAGTATCATTCCCATTTCATAGATTACGAAATGAAGATTCTGCAACTTTGCCCAAAGTCATACACAGAGCACAGAGCAGACCTGGGACTGTTTGACCCTGAAACATTACTCTTTCTGCACTGCCTGCTACAGCCTTCCGGTTAAGCTAACCTGCTCTGCATCCCATGGTGACTTACCCTTGTCTTCAGTGTGGTGTCACAAGATTTAAGCTGTGGCTGACAGGCTCCCTTAATTTGGGAGAAGTGCCCCTTCCAAGTATGTGAAAATCTTCCAATTTTTCAGGGACTTTTGGCAAAGCAAAACGTCCACCTGGATTTGGCTCTGCAAACAGAGAAGCATCTCTGTGGCTCAGGGGGTGTTGTTCTACTGCACAGATCTTTGTTTATTGGGGCTTCCCTGGCAGTCCAGTGGTTAAGACTCCACGCTTCCACTGCAGGGGGCACGGGTTCGATCCCTGTTCGGGGAACTAAGGTGACACGTGGCACAGCAAAACAAACAAACAACAACAAAAAACAGATGTTTGTTTATTAAGCACGTATGTAACAGAATGACTACCTGTGGGCAGGTGACAGGCCCTTGAGTAGAAGCCAGGAGACCCATGGTCAAGCCCAGCTTTGTACCTGACTCGCTGTGGATGTCAAATAACTCCTGTCTCCTTTCTGCACCCTGCTTTCCACAGCAGAATGTAAAAGATTAAACAGGGTTGGTGATTTTCAACTTTTTAATTTTTTTCAGCACTAATACCCATTTCTCAAATCTCTCTCTGAATCCTAAAATTAAAAAAAAAAAAAAAAACAGATAAAAGTGGAACTGCCCTAGTAAGGCCTCCCCCTCACCACTCTCTAACCCCCACCCCCAAAGCCCCAGTCTCCTCCAGGTGAATTGGACTGCCAGGCCCCTAGGCAGCCCTGCCCTTTCGCTTCTGATAAGCAGAAGGCATTTGCTTCCTCAGCCTCTTCTAAAGTAGATGTGGGGTTGAAGCCAGTGGAATGCAGCTTTGGATTCCAGAAGCTGGGGGCCTGCTGCTATAAAGGTTCTCTGGAAAGTGAGTTAGAGACCTAAAGACCTACCTTCAAACTATGATGTGACTCTGTAGAATAACATTGAGGAAGTCAGTTAACGTCTCTGAGCCTCCGTCTCCTTATCATTAAAAGTTAGAACAATTCTCTGCAATTAAATGGGATAATATATATGTGTGAAGTACCTAAGTGCAGTGCCCAGCACACAATGTACACTCAGTATATTTTTCTCTGATACCTTCCATCTCTCCAAGGCAGAGATAGTATAGGCAGAGCAACGCCTACTGAATCAAGTGTTTATCAGTAGTATGGGGTATGGTAGGTAAAACCCTACACTCATTGTCTACAACAAACTCAAATTCTGGCTCAGTCACTAGCTGAGTGGTCTTGGGCAAGTGACTTAACCTCTCTGAGCTGGGCTAATCCTTGGCAGACCTAAGAGCAAAATCTTGCACAAAATGGGCACTCAGGACTTTGTATCTGCTAAATGATTGCTCATATGGGGTTTGGGACATCTTTGGGGAGGCCTGGCTTGCCCCTGGGTCAGATGATGTGGCTGGCCCAGGGGTGTGGTGGTGGAATGGATCCTATGTGGCTCCTGATAACCCCAGCCCCGCCAAGGAGGAGGATCAGATGAAACAGGCCCCTGAGCTAGTTGGGAGGGAGCCAAGGGGCCTGGGAGGCTGGAGGACAGGGGGAGGGGAAGGCATCACCAGTGTACTAAAGGACCCCGACCCCCCACCAGGCCCAGAGAGTGTGCAGCTGAGGGTAAGTCCCTGCCCCTCTCTGGGCCTTGAGGTCCCATTCATACAAGGAGAGACTGGTGGCTCTTTGTTTTCCCCCTACTTGGCTGTTAGGCACCTCCAAAAGGAAGCGTCTAAAACGGAGCTCCCCACCTCCTCTCTCTCCAAGCTCGCCTCCCCACCGCCCTCTTCCTGCCTGTCCCTGTCTCCGCTGCCCTCCAGGTCAAGAAAGCTAGCGCATCCGCGCCAAGAGACTGCCTCTTGGCCGCCTTAGGATGGGCCCTCCTCCCTACCCCTCTCGCCCCACAGCCTATGTCCTCCTCTGCTTCTAGTCAGCTCTGCTCAGGCTGCAAGAATTATCTTCCTAAAGCCAGGCTCTGAGCAGGCCCCTGCCCCGCCCCGTGCTCAGAAATCTTCCCTGTCCTAGGTCTGGCCACCCCTCCGCTCCAAACACACATCCTCGATTGCCTCTTCAGTCCTCAGAGCAGTCCACAGCCCGTCCTCCTGGCCCCTTCTTTCGCCTCCGGAGGGAACATTCTCCCCTTTCCCTCTGCCAAGCCGAGCCCACTCATCCTGCAAAACCGAGTTCTAGTCCTGTCTTCTTCCAACAAGCTTCTGACCTCCTAACTCACATTGGAAGTCATGGTTCCTTCATGGTAGGCTCGGCCTCTCCGAGATGCGCTCAGTCAGCCCAACCCCCTGGGACTGCGGTGCCAACTGGATGAGAAATCATGTGTGCGAGTGCCCAGCGTGGCGTGGCACATAGTAGGTGCTCAAGAAACAAACGTTAATGCCCCAGCTTCCTTTTGTCTTACACCCCTTATTTGGCATTTAGGGCATATTGTCTTGTACTTCATGTGGGTAAATATATTTACTGTGTGGCAGAGTGCTGTGCAGGAGGCAAACATGAACTAAGTGTGGACCCTGCCCTGCAGAAGCTCTGCCTACTGGGACGAGATAAGGCCACAGAGAACTAGTATATAAGAGAGACTGTGATCTGGGCAAGAAGAGATGCTGCAGGGGAGAGGGAAGGAGGGGCCGCCTGGTGGAGAACCTGGTAGGATTTGGGGATGGGGAAGTTGTGGAAAGAGCACCAGCCTCCTAGGGAAAGAGGGTGAGCGGAA